GGTTATAAATCATTAGTCAAGAAAGGTTAAGCAATAAGTGAGATTAACATTCTTCTGATAGGGTTCGATTTACAGTTTCGCATAAGGTAAAGATACGCAGCACTCACTATAGGGATCTAGGTGCAGCACTCAATAACCTTACATAAGAATAAAAAGTTCATGGACGAGGCTTACGCGTTTGAGGAGAAGCTTTGCCTACTCGTGAAGTGCCCGAAACCATGTAAGAACCTTGCCAAAGCAAGAATAAAAAACCTTTGGGCACTTATTGATCGAACAACAAACTTTAGATGGGAAGATTCGCTTGGAATATCTAGGGTTTTTGAGACTGGCAGATATCGGTGTTCGAAGTTATATAATTCATTTTTTTAAACTTTGAAAATCCAGGAAACTATACACCTTTGAAGTTGCAACAGGTGCTTTGTTTCTGGCTCATAAGTGCTCAAAACACAAACTCCAAATGGGCACTCGGAAGTGGACTCTAGAAAAAGCAATAATAATAGTCTTCTCTGTACTGCAATATCTAATGATAAACCTTAAGTAAATCAAAAAGGGTTATTGGAATGGTTCAAAAAAGAAGATGACAACAGTTTGTTGACTTGGCAGTCAACAAACTGTTGTCATCATCTTCTTTTTTTTGATATCGCAAAACTCTGCCATAATCATTTGCGCTTGTACTTGAATCTTTAAAGAAACAAGTCCGTATTCATTCTATGCTCCACATATTTCACAGCGCTGCTTCCACTTGAAATGCAGATGTTTCTACTTTCGTGTAGCGAAAGCAAGTTTTGCTTCTTTGTCACGCTTATCTGTTTGCATGGAAACCTTTCAGGTCTTTGAATCTTGCATGGCAAAAGGAAGCATTTAAAAACTGGCTGAACAAACTGGTTAGAGAATCCGAAATTAAATGCCACTACTAGAAGAGAGGTAATCGAGAAACTTGACATGAGCATATGTAAACAACATTTTCATTTAGGCTGTTTTTGGCTTTATGATGAATGATTTCCGCTAGCAGTTGGATTTACAAGCATAAATGATAGATTATTGGGAAAGTGGACAACCGTGCTATTGTGACTGCCTACTTAATCCATCTATTGTTAAGGATTGCAGGGTGAAAATGATTGAACAGGTGACCAGTCAGTCAGAAAAAGAACTATTTCGTGCTCTTTGTCTGGTCTCGAAGGACTAGGCTCAACTTTTCACGTCACCGCAAACATTGTGAGTGACGAAGGCCGTAACTCGTTAACAGAAGCTAATTCTCAGCTCGGTGTCCTTTTTTTATGAGAAGATGTGATTTAGCAAACAGGACTACAACACATTCCCCACCGCTCTCGGTGGACTAATTAAGTGGATTCGACGATGTAGGCGGTTTTCTTACGATGCGTTGGATGAGAGCACACGAACTGCCTACAGTCAGTGTGAGAAAGCAAGAAACTAACACGTGCACGGACTTGATTCTCATATTCGGCGTAAAATAGCGAGTGTCTTCAGTTTTGCTTACAATGGCAACTAAGCAAAGCTGTTAGTTTACTTTCCGCTCCAAAACTCTTCAGCGGGCAAAACAGCTCGTCGGAATGGTCTTTCAATTAGGTAAGCACAAGCAATTTTGAGGATGAAATGTCATAACCCGCTGCAGTTTGAGGATGGAATACTATAGCCTGCCTGTAAGTTAGTCCAAATCAGGCTTACTAAGTACTTACAAGAACGTCTAATTTCCTGTACGGTATTGATAAATAATTTTCTATTAATTTTTTTGCCTCTACACGAAGATCTTCCTTTGAATATTCGTTTCGAATTGTAAGAAGAGCCAAGAGATCTTAAAAGGTCAAAGTAATAACATTTTAGCTTCGGATTATCAGGAATTGGCCATTGTTGAGCATCTACTGAAATTGATTGCGAGCGTCCAGAGAAAACATGTCTTTGGACAAATAATGATTTGGAAAACTAGATTAAACATTCTGTGATGTTTTTTTTTCTAGGTTGCCAATATGGTAAGCTAATCAGTAATACACCTTGGAGCAGCCTACAGTACATCTTCCCGATTTAGTATAGGACTAGCTCATTACTCAACTTCTGCCTCTTTGTAATTTGCTTTTAATTTGTAGAGATCTTCCGTATATATGTACTGTAATACAATGTCTTAAAACATGAAAATAGTTAGTAACCAGCCTTGAATTCAACATTTTCTCTTTATTTCGTACAGGGTCACATCAGGACTTCGCTCACTTTCATACCATATCAACAACTTGTGGATCTGAAATGCTTGCTTCAAAATCGCTATTGCTCTCCAACTTGTAGATGATGCTTAGCCCTATTTAGTGGCGTTCCCATGATGACTGTGTGCACAGAAAAGCAGCTGTTCTTCAGGAGATCGTTGAAAGCTTCAAATTTATGTGGAAGCTCTTCTCAATACAAATTGTAGATATCTGCCATTTGCAAATACGCTTAGAAAGACGACCAAGAGGCAACAAATATAGAAAAGTGACAGCAATGTTAAACGTTTAGAAATAATTCAGTAATTCCCCAAACACTGAACATGGGAAAGTATTTTCCATTTGTCACCTAATAAACACTCTACATTGTGTTTCTTTCGGCTGAAAAAAATTGTCGTTGACTCAGTAATTAGTTGCATGAGCCTCGAAGAAACATGATGTTTCACATAGCAGTGCCATTAGGCGCAAAATGTTTTCAAAACAATTACTTAGGATTCTTTATCACAAAGGTTACAAGAAGTGATAAAGTATGTAGTGAAAGAAATTCTTTGTAGAGAGTGCACTCTTCCTTGAACTTGATTTCACTGAATAGAGGAGGTTCTCGCCATGTGGAACTTGCACATTGGCATTTTTTTAACTTCTGGTTTTTGAATTAGCAAATTAACCAACTCTATTTTGATGCTTCTCACTCCTGAATATTCAAGGAAGCAGATGCTGAAAACCTCCATCAGTAGTGCCGGCTGCTCACCATCTGTGCCCTGCTTTGCAGATACAATCTCTTGCGCTTAAATGACACAAAGCACTGCATTCA